AACAGATAAACAAGTGCATCCATCGACCAGCAAGCGTTCGTTTATCGCGATTCAGCTTATCGCGCTCGCCCGTTTAAAGGGTATCATGAGTAATCGATTAGCGTATAAGCGTTGTTAAATGAATGATGTACGAAAAGTTCATACCTCAGATATATTACAACAAGTATCAGGAAAAGAATCTTATCATTATTATGTTAGCAATAGTATTGCAATTTTTATATTTGTCACATTTCAGCCATAGTTCATGCATGAGTGGTATAAATTTCAGTTCAGCTCGTACTCTATACCAAGGGATAAGGAGCTGCAGTAATCTACTTAAAATTTTAGCTATCATTCCTAGCACAGTCGCGTTTCGCAGTTCTTGTACGTTGATCCCTTCATCAGTTGACTTTTATAGGTGCTGATGGTCCCTTTTCACCACAGGAATGACTTCCATCTTTTCTCCCCAGATCTTTTGTATTTCCGTCCGCCACTCTTGATATTTCAGTATCTTTTCTCTCCACTCAAGCTACAACGTTACCATTGATTTGTCTACCTACACGATATCCGGACGGTGAGCCGATATTTCTTTTTCAGCTCATATTCCAAAGTCTAAGAGCATTTTCACTTGCTCAGACCCTTGCACCGCGTTCGACTGATGTTGCCTGCAGGACCTTTGATTTCACCACTTAAGTACTTGATCTCGGGCAACTGTTAGAAGGGCTTCCGTTTTGCCATGGAGTCAACGTCTTGATAGCGAGTTTAAAATCTAGTGAACGTCTGTGTTTTCACGAATTGGCGTCAAGATACTGCCTGTGAAGATGTTTATTCTTCTAACTGTTTCAGGTACTCTCTACATTTTGCTGATGACTTTCTGCATTTTCAGTTAGTTGCTGCTGCCTTAGTTTGCACAGGCCGTTAAACTTTACAGCCATGAACACCCTATGGTTCTCTGTTGTAGCAATACTAGCAGGAGTAGTACTTTACAAATATGAGCTATATTTATCGGTTCTGCGTTAGCATAAGTATTATGAGTACGAAGTATAAAAACTGTGGTTGGTGCGTTGAAAGTTATTAACCCCGCTTAATCACTGCAAAATTGAATTTTTTATACCCTGTCGCGCCTTCTTTTCCATAGATGCTTGCACTACGGGGCAGTTTACGCAGGATACGGTTGAATGATGTCGGAGAATCGCATTTTTCTGGCATTTCGTAAAAGTGCTTGTAATACTGCTATACCTGGCACGTAACACTTGCGGCACTTAAATACTATGATTGTCTTCGGCGATTTGGAACAATGGGATATACGTATTACCAGCATATGAAATATCGTTCTTGATGAGTATGAAAAGAGTTTAACGAATAAATGGTGCGAGACACACCTAACACCGCATGTGTTCAGGCGGAGCCGTGGCCTACTTTAATGCTCTTTACCAGCAGTTCAATGCGAACGAATGGCACAATGCAATGCATTGTGAAATTCGGTAACTGACGGAGTTAAGCGTTCTGTTAACATATGCCAGCATATAACAAATAATTTTGAAATCTCTTAGTTTCTATTGCTACTGCTGCAGTATTAATAACCCAGTTTTTCCAGGGCAATTGCACGCAGTTATACACGTTCGTATTGAAAACAATTTTTCGTTCGTCATCAACACCGTTATATTGTTTCCACATAATCTTGTAATTGGAATATCAATATATTTTAAGTATTATAAAGATTAATACTGATATTCCTCCAACTGTGCCTACATCATGCTGGAGAATGTTATTCTTAGCGGCGGTATCGAAATTGGAAATTTCCTAGTAAAGCCATAATACCGGAGCTATTTTTATTTATATTCTGCAACGGATAGTGGCATTTTGGCAGGTGTCCATGAAGGACTTTGCTCAGTGATGGGGTATTGCATCCATACACGGCAAATACTAAGATATCATAAAGCTGTGGCCTGCTTAACTTGCATC